ATAGTGATAAAAATATTTTTAAAAATGACATCTGAGATTGACTTATTTAGGCAAAAAAATGTTAGAATTATAGTTGAGAATACTAAGTTTAAGGCTAAGTATAACGAGGCTAAGGATGAGATTACAAAGCTAAGGGCTAAGCTCAAAAGTAAAATTAAAGAATTAGAAAAAGCTAAATAGATACTGTTATCGAGAATGCTAGATGTAATGTTAAAAATATAAGGCGTGATGCTGAGAATGCTGAACTTGAGACTAGAATCGTGAAGTTAGAATAAGATTCTAGTCAACCATAAAGTGATTCCTCTTTCAAAGACATATCAGACTTCATAGTAGTGAATGAAGTGGTATTTGTCAATTCTAAGTCATCAAAAGAAAAAATGATAAACTCTTTTCTAGATGTTGTGCATAAGAAAATTGTTAGTAATAGGATAAGGTAGAGAAAGCGGGATGAGAAGCTTGCAAAGATAGAATCCATCTTCTCCGAAAAAGGTAAACAGGTATCTGTTGACAAAAAGATACTTCGCAAGAAAGAACAAAGGGAAAGATTTATCCAGGAAGTGTTTAGGAATGATTTGATACCTTTAGTATTTTTTCAAAGGGAATCAGATTCAAGTACTAATTGTTCCAATATTATAGATGAGCCAGGCTTGAATTTTTTAGATGTTTGCCTAGAGCAAACAATACGAAGCTGTGATTCCTTAGCAGTAGAGATGGGAACGTTAACCTTTTCTCTTTTGTATGAAAAACTTTGCGATGCCGTTATCCTTACTGATCATGCAACTCAAGAAGCTATTTAGTGTTATTGTCAATTTGAGAAAGTTCTTATTCAGAGACGAGATGAGATAGCATCTGAAAAATAAGTTAACCCAGAATCTAATACCATCAGTAGAATTTTAAATGAAAAGGTTAGAGCTTAGCTTCTTACAGATACTTCTGATACACTTTTATTGAAAAGAATCAAGCAGGTCAAGAAACTCTAAAAGCTTTTTGATGTAATAGGCATAGATAAAATTTATCAGATACATTCATTCTCTGTTAGCAGTATTTCAAAAATGATGTATGAAGACATTTAGTATATTATAGATAATATATCAGTTGATTATAGCATTAAGATAGAATCGTCCACTTGTGCTTAGCCAAAAGACACTTTGCTAAGTGATGAAAAAAATTTTGAATTATCACATCCTGATCTCAGTTTAAGAAATGATAAGAAATTTCTGAGTTGTCACATACTAATACTTCAAAGTCTGGAGTAAATATTTCACCTGCATCTTGACCACCTATTTCTCAATCCAAGAGTCCACTCTATGACTGCTCCTATTTTTGCAACAAAATATTAGACCAATATTCTACTTTATATAAAGAATTTAGTAATAAAAATTTCGATTATTATAAGCATTACTGATAAGACATCATGCCTATTATGCAGTTTAGATCATGATGATGAGAAAAGTATAGAAGGTATGTATAAATTCAGATCTTACTTTATTAAATGTAAACAGTGTGAAATTGAGATAACTGCATAGTTTTATTACCCTTCTCCTACAGAAGATGATCTATTTTTCAAACTAAAGAGAAAAAAAGGATTTAAATTGATCTGTGATTATTGAAAAAAGGAAATATGAGCATATCTAATAAAATATTAACTCCCGAATACTTGGATTGGTATGCCAAATTAACTGGGTTATCAAGCATTATGACGGATAAGATTCAGTCTAGCTTATACAAAAATATAAAAAAGAAACTAGGCATGAGCCATGGCAATTATCAGAAGGTTATCATCTCATAAATTCGAAGCCAGAAAAAGGGTTTATCACTTTCAAAGCCAAACCCGATCCAGAATTAATTATCAAATCTGTCTTGAAGCACTTTTCATACTTGAAATTCCAAAATAGTTTTAAATTATAATTTTGTATCTGTTCAGCCGTAAAGCTCACCATGTCCTATTTGTGACAGAAAACATGGGAATTATGGATTACATGACGAATGGTATAAAAATGAAACAGAATATTGTTTTACTTGCTTTACTTCAAGCAATAAATTCAAATTTGCAATTGTAATATAGGCCAGTCATGTGAGATCAATCACCTGAAAAAATGCACAGTTTTTACTTGTTGTACAGTTAAAAGATTTCAGCATATATTCAATAAAATTATGTATTATCAGTCAATCTTTACATAAGGATAGTGTTAAATTTTTTTTATTTTAAGAAGTATGTGTTGATTGATCTTTGTAATGAGATCATTTTGTTGGTATAGTTTTCTTTAAAAGTGTATTCCAAATTCTATTCTTAGACCTATTACAAAATATAAAATAGAGTGAGACACTAGTTAGTTATTCTCAAACCTAACTTATCATTATATCTAAAATCATTAATCAAAAACATCATAAAAATCATTGAAAATACCCAACAGATAAAAATATAATGATATTTGAACTGACTTAAGAGTTGAGACTATCTAATCAAATCTTTGTTATCAGACGTCATGATAATTTTGGAGATATTACTCTTCTTGCTCATTTTGATCTTTGCCGAAAAATTACTGACCATCATCATACGTTCGATAGTACACATGAATCTCATCATATGCAACGGCATATAAAAGTCAGGCGCAATATATATCATCTGACTCATTTGTGCGACCATAAATTTCTTATATATACCACATTTTTTAATGCAAATTTTTTCTTTTTTCTGAAACTGTACAACTGCTGACCTGCTTTTGTCCCACTATATTTAAAATATCTGATCCCTCAGTAGAAAACGTGGAAAGATATAGTACAGAACAACTTATTAATTTTTTACGAACAAAAAACTTAAATCTCAACAAAACTGACTATAATAAAATTCATGATCAGAGGGTCGCTAACTTCCTTCAATTAACTAGGGAAATACTTCGTGCTGAACCTTACAGATTTCCTGATGGACCAGCAAAAAGGGTCGCAACATTAGTTGATAGTTTGAATAGAAAAAGTAAGTTCTATATTCAATGGAGGCAGTTAATTTTCATAGTAACTAAAGTTATTTTTTTACTTTTTTAGGGCTTCTTAGTCAAGAACAAGCGTTATCATGTATTCCGTTACCTATTGGGTATCATCAAAATGTTATTACTTCACAGAATACTACATATTCAGGTGATCAATTTTCAATGGAGATTCGTCTTTGGGATGATCTTTTCAAAGAAGTTAATAAGTTTCACTTTGACAATGAACCGAAATTTGAAAGGTCACAATTTGGCAACTTTCTGTCTTGTATTAATGAAGAGGATATTTGTAATGCTTTTTATTACAATATTTGTCAAGTTTTAAATGTCCTTTTGCCAGACTATGAATTTTCGAGACAACCAGTTCCTATCGCTGGAATACTGGATTTTTCTGCCATGTTTGCTGCATATGAATTTATCGCGCTAATTGAGATCAAGAGAGAGCACGTTTTACAATTGTTATTATTGGATGGTGAACAAACATTCCTGTATTTTGATGAAATGAACGAACGTTATGAAATGAACGAACATGCAAGAGATGTTATTTGACAGACTTTTACCTATATGGCAGAAGCTCAACTTCAGTATGGTGTGTTATCAACCTATCAACATCACTAGTTTTTGCGCTAACCAGCTGATGAACCATCAGTGTTTTATATTTTGAAGACCCTTCTAATACAGTCTCAATTACCACCGATCCTTAAAACATATGCATATATGGTTCAGGTTTTATGTGCAGATTTCTTTTCTAGAAATCCTGTTGTAACTACTGATAAAAGAAAAAGACAGTCAGTCTCCTATTCTGAATCAACAGTTATAGCTTCTAAGAAACCATCTTCTAGTACAAGCAAAAAAAAGCAGACTCCTTCTATTCAGAATCTTAGCTTTGCAGATTTTAAATATAAGAGTATATTAGGCCAAGGACAAAGTGGGAAGACACTTCTATATGAATTCCGTGGAAATACAATTGCTTTAAAGTGTGCTGACCTATCAAAAACCCCACATATCTTGAAAGAAATGCAACAAGAAGTCAATATTTATAAAATTCTCTCTGATATTCAAGGAATTCATATTCCAAATTTGTTGTGTTATGGCTTTTACGGTAGGATGTATTATGCTATTGGCATGACTCTTGTTGGTTCTGCTTTAAATAACTATAAACATATAACATAACAGCAAAGAGTTATGGGTCTTCTTACATTAAATGCAATTCAAGATAGAGGTGTACTTCACAATGATATTCGTGAGGAAAATATTTTGCTTGATGATATTAATGATATTTACTTAATTGACTTTGGGATGGTAAGATATCATTGTGAAGCTAAGAAAAGTTGGAGGTTGTTTGATGAAGAGAAACTTAAATTGACTCGTTTGCTTGATCATTATATTTTATTAGATAGTGTAATTGTTATTGAGTGATAATGATTTTGCAATTAAAATTCAAATAATTTGTATAACTGTGCTGTGTATTTTACAAGATAGAAATATAATATATTACAATCAGCATCTACTCTTGCAATTTATTTTTTATCAATAAAAGAAAAAAAGGGACAACACTTGTTAAATTGCGAATATTACACCTAATAAATTTGTTTTTAATTTCGTATGGTTGTAATTGAGTTTGAGTTTACATACTATATTTCTGATCCAGATTTAATAAACGTGCAGTATTTATTGCTAATATTGTACAACGAGCTGTGTGACACATAAGGCTTATATTTCTCAAACTCAAATAAATAGGAATGCTGACAAGACATTATGCAATTTTAAAAAGTATAAATATTTTTTTGTCTGTTGCAGTGCATTGAAATGAAATTTCTGTTCAGGATTTCTGAGAAATTTATTAG